TATTTTTAATAAGTTGAAGTTTCTTCTTAAAAATAACCCAAGAATTGGCCGAATGCATCCCCAGATTGAGAATCAACTAACACTCTTGCACAACCTCATCAAAGCCATCCATCAGAAACCAAGAATGAAATAAACGAAATGGAGTAGGACCACAATCAACACGATCCACCAACAACATAATAGGATGATGAACTAGAATCTTTTTATCCAAGATAAGACCCGTAAGATGAGGAAAAGGAACCATAATACCCTTCGTGACCAAGAATCTATTGAGTTTGCTAAACTAAGAACCTAATTTATCACTCCAAGTATTTTATGGAACCGACTTCAAAATACAAAATGTCACCCTTTAGATAACTTAGAAAAAAACAATTTATGATGAAAACAAAGTGTTGATGTTTCATTAAATTTCATTAGCAACACATTTTGTATCATATATAATTGTTTCAATAAATTCCATGCTTTAAATAATTTATAAAATAGTTTAATGTCTCATCGTAATTTATTTAAATCCTTATACGTACAGATAAAATAACTTCGGTTGAAATAACAAACAAATAATAGAAGTTTTTAGGGACCGATAAAAAAAAAGTAATTACCAAAATTGAACACGAATAGTTTACTTTAGCTATAAACCGGTTACACCTATTCATGTGGGCGCGTTTGATGCACAACGTTTGTGAGCTTCTAGCTTCTAACTTCTAGCGTTTGACAAAATATTTCGTTTTAAACAAAAAATCTTGTTTGACACTACAGAATTTTAGCATTTAGTTTAAACAAAACCTTTAAATCCAGGCATGGAAATTGGATTGGATTCGAGTTGGCGGGTAACGAGTTGGTGGTTTAGAATATATTGACCCAACCCAACCTATATAATATATGGTATGATGGGTTAGCGGGTTGAAAACATCACCCAACCCAACCCACATAACCCGTTTAAGTATATAGGTTCGTGGGTTGATTTCAATGAAAGAGTCAACGAGTCATTTCTAGGTAACTTTTTACATCTAAAATTTATACGAACTATACACATCTCTAAATTAATTAATAATTAATATTTTACATTGACTATCAGTCTAACATAATAACCTAAGAAGCAACTCATTTGAGCAACTCATTTGAAAAAAAAAAAAAAAAAAAAAGGTTTCCACTTCCGTATATTGAGTATATTCTATTATTTCATAAATAAACTTTTACTTTTTTTTAATATAATATATATAGTCAGGTTGGTAGGTTGAGCTACAAACCCAAAAAGGTAACCCGACCCAACCCATGAAATAAACGCGTTGGAGGGTTGGTAGATTAGCGAGTTGGTGGGTTGACGAGCCAGAAATCTCAATCCAAACCTATTTATTTTTGTGTCGGGATTACGAGTTGGATCGAGAATTGTCACCCCTATCTAAATCTAAAGGTTGTCCCACATAACGCTTAACAAAATACTACAAGCTATCAGCTACCCGCTACCTTCCACCAGCTAGTTTTGACAAACATGTCCCAATGATATAATCAAAATTACACACACACACACACACACACACATATATATATATATATATATATATATATATATATATATATATATATATATATATATATATATATATATATATATAATGTTATTTTGAGAACTTAAAAATTTTCGAGATCTCGAGGACTACTAATCTGATTATCATTTTTCAAAATGAAGATCATCATTAGTATCCAAATGTTCCGTCTAACCCAAATATGGACTCAAAAAAGATAGGATGAATTTTATTAATGTGCATACATCCATGTTTGAATCTGTATATATGTACATTTTGTATTTTCTTCCAAACATTTCAAAACCAACATAACAATTAGACTCTCATACCAGCGTTTAAAAAAATTGCAACTTGAAAATGTGAAAAAAAAAAAAAAAACAAAAAATTGTGCATATATATGCACATTTGATGCATATTCAAATGTGTGTGTATATATATATATATATATATATATATATATATATATATATATATATATATATATATATATATATATATATATATATATATATATATATATATATATATATATATTGTGACATTCCCATTTCACGGCCAGAAAAGACCAATTTTGTTTATGTTTTATAAAAATCAGAGTACTCTTTTTTAATAAAAATATTGCGGAATTTGTTCCAAGTAAAACATGATAAATACGTTATCAAAACATTTCCGAAGAAAGGTAATTTTAATTCGTTTTAAAACATTTGGGATCTCATCGTCAATACAGAAACATAAGCATAAACAAAACTTACATTTATTTACACTAGTGATCTACATCTCTTTAATCTCTCAGTGTAATTTGACTTCATCTCAACACTTGTATTATAAATAAATTGAGTGGGTCAGGTTGAGAAACCTTGTGAGTACATAGGGTTTTCAACCCACAATAATATAATTATTATGTATAAACAATAAAACAATCGAACCAATTACTCATCCACATTACCTTCTTTACTCTTAAGGATCTATCGTAAGAGTCATCTATCCCGCATTCGTTCATTCTGAAGTCCTTTGCTTCCAGAGTTATAGGATTGGCACTAAATCCATAGCTGTCAATGCTCGTTCGTAAAGCACTAATTCCATAGCTGCTGGGTACTAAATCCATAGCTACCAGTGTTTATCTAATAGGTACTAAATCCATAGCTACCAATTCCTAACA